AAATAGGCATAGGTGAAAGTTCCGAGTGAATCTACTTGCCACTATTTTTTTTTTCGATTTTCTTTTATTGAACCATCAATAGCGCAAGACGATTTTAGTGTTTCAGCCTTTGAAGACAGTACCAGGCTTGATAGTCAGAGTTTTCTTAAGTCCTCAGATAATTTAATTACCCTTAATTTCGAAAAGCTACTTTCAGCTGTTGCAGTTGTAATCTAGAGGGCTAAAAATAGAAAGCATGCTCCTATTACCTAGCCGTACAATCTAAGGTAAAGCACTTGATAATTTTTGTTGGAGGCCCAGTATCATTGATACTGCTGAATCGGTGGTAGCTACGCCCCTGCATCAGCCCCATGTGCTCTACCCCATTATCTAACCTGCAGCGGTTTCGCTCGCCCACACCACCTTGCAATGAAACTTTAACCATAAAATGGAACGACTTCAAAGTTAATTAAGAAGTTACTTAGCCGATTGGCATTACCGCGGCCATTTTACCGATATGAGAGATATTCTTAAACGTCTTCCTTTTCTCCTTACTCTTTGTGCAGGTGCGCTTTAATCAAGCTATCTCTTTAATTAGTTTCTGCACTATCAGTCGCGTGTTAGTTGTTAGCACGCCCACATAGATTTTATGAACCGTATGCTAGATGCTTCTTCGGTACGTTATAGCTATTATGTTGTTGGAAAGATAATAAAGCACTAGCTCTCTGTCAGAGCATACATATTCGTTTCGAGTAGGTACGCAGCTGCCTGGTATTTTCTAGTCCAGGAAGCATCGCAGCTGCTCAGAAAAATATTTCAAATCGTTTTTTTGCATAATCTTATTCAAAAGGACCCCTTTTAACGAATCGGCATGTTGTCAGGTCCAAAATTTTTACACAAGGTTACTATGCCAAGGATGAAAAATCCTCTTAGTTTTTGAATTGTCCAGTGGCGGTGGAGCTAAAGGCAAAATGCGTTTAAGGGGTAAAAAATAGTGTGGTGGGGGATTGTAGGGAGTCTAGGGGAGGTTAATATCAATTTTTTAATATCATTATATTTATATATTTCTAACCCCAGTAGTTCTACGTGCTCATTAGGTATATTTCACCCAGATATTCCCCGTATGTTTGCCCTCAAGACTAAGGGTCGTATCGTCAGTAGTCCCTACAACCGTAGGACGCCTTTATGGCCTCCTTGATTGTCATAGTCTTTTCTCTCCTTCAACAATTTCTAGATTGCACCTTTTTTGTGTCAGCGTCAGCGCTCTTCTATTGTGAAGTTATGTTTTCTTTTTGAATTGTAGGAAATTTCAGGCTGATAAAACATGATATAAAGCAAATACCATGACAATCAAGGAGGCCATAAAGGCGTCCTACAATTGTAAATGTGTAAATAAACATACCTTGGTCCAAAAGTTGATAGTTTGCAAGATATCCTGTATCAAAGTTAGAATTTTATCTTCTATTTTTTTTATTTCGGTAAATAACTTATCATAACTTTTTTGTGCTACCCTGTATACAACAACTGACCGAAAAATCTTATTTTCTCGTATTTACACAACAAAAAAGGTTTACTTGTTAGAAGTGTCTACATCTGATAGTTTTCGAGATATTTGTTTTTAAAGCATTACACCTTGCCAATCCGTACATTAAATGCATATCAGAATATTCATCAAACGTATACTCCATGATGTTTAACAACTTCAACTTAGGCCCGTATCGTCAGTCGTCCCTACAATTGTAGGGCGCGTTTATGGCCTCCTTGATTGTCATACTCCTTTCTCTCCTTCAAACATTTCTAGATTACACTTGTCCCGTGTCAGCCTCAGCGCTCTCCTATTGTGAAGATATGTTTTCTTTTTAAATTGTAGGAAATTTCAAACAAGCACAATTTGATGCAAATAGATGTTTGTGGCATAACCTCAAAATAGAGTTCTGACACGGAGAAGTAGAAAACTATGACAATCAAGGAGGCCATAAAGGCGATACGGGCCTTAATGTCAACTTAAAATTATTCATGAAGTTTAAAGCAATATTATGTGACAAACATTAGAAACCATAGCAATGCTACTCAGATATTATCTAGCAACTTGATTATTATGTTATAAAAATGTTTCATCATCATGGTACAAATAATTAAATTAATTAAAACTAGCGCACGCTTTTATTTGAGCAATATCCTTCAAACTGAGAGGACATTGCATTATTTTGAGCAAGCCGGTCAATACCGATTTTGAAGTTCTTTTGAAGTTTGAATACTCTGTAATTTCAGAATCCCTTTGGTATTTCTCTCAATACATCTGAGTGGCCGTCATAAGACTCGTGTGCATCCATCGGTAGGTGCTTCTGTACTTACGTAGAGATGCTATTGAATTTTGCAAAATTTCAAGGCGCATAATGGCCGTTAAACGTAAGCGCATATCCGAAGAGAAGAGCATTACAGTGCTGTTTGTCGCTTTTACATTTATTAATGTGTGGGTTCTTTCAAAAAGGATGCCCGTAAGAGGGCACTTAATATTTTACGGCTGTTCAATTTTACCGAGTACTTTTATAGCGCATAAAAATCCAATATTATTAACGCAATTAATGATAATGGAATAAAACACTATAACGGTTATTATTTTTTGAAAGCCGTCGTAAAATTTTAACTAACTTGTAGGTACAAATCTGAGAGTCTGCTCTAGCCCTGCTTTCTTCAGAACGATCAAGACGGACTATAAACTTCAAATTGGTTGCTGTGCTCGAAATACCCTACTCATACTCCCGATATCGACGAAATGGTTTTAGTGGGGAATTCTTTCTTATAATTTTAGTAGGACATTTTAAAGCTGGACTGATGAACATAAAAATGGTATAAGCATATAGGACAAATATATTAGCATCAAATTCTCCATTGTAAGGCTTATCAGCCAATGTTTTGCACCTGCTTGTAGTCTGATAGAAGATATCTTATTGCATTGCTCGTCATCAAGACGTATTTAAGCTCCTTACAGCAGCCGCGGTACCCAGAAATTTTGGCTTCTGCCTATGCGGCTGTTTCGATTTATTTTTTTTAAAATCACGTTACCTGCATGAGTATTCCATAAATTGAAGCACATCAATATTTTTAATTACAATGAAAACGGGTAGGTAGGTAGATAGACAGATAATTTATTGTCTTGTAGATCATTTTCATAATACAAGAAAACAAAAAGTCATAATACGTGTATTGAGCAGATATTACCAAAAATATATATACTTATACAATACAATCAGTGATGGCGATAAAGAGGGAGCCATATATACAGGGTGTCCCGATATTCCGTGAATACAGTACCACGTACATTTATACTGAAAATAAGTCGATTGGACATGATTTACCACTATGCCCGTTAGAGGGCGTCAAAGTTTTCTTTTTAAAACACATTTTTCAGATATTTTTGGAACCGATAGTCCAATTTGAATGAAATTTGGAAAACTAGCCGTACCCCTACATAAATTATAGCAGAATTTTTTCGCAACTCTCCCAACGACTCTGAATTTTTTATTTGAAAGTACTATTACTTATTTTATTTTTTGTTTCTTATAAAAGGCCATCTTTCATAGTTCTTGAAAGAAAAAAATTTTCGGAGCTGGTTTCTAGAAAAATTTTGTTGATACATCAAGTGTCAAAATCCAGTAAGCCTCTAAATGCAAAACGAGACATGTTTTTTATGCATAATGGAGTTCCACTTTGCGCGCGCTGTAAGAAATTACTTAATGATGATGATACATGAATTGATAGAGATCAAGAAGCTCGTATTCAATGCCCACCCCGTTTCCAGGATCGCGATTTTTTATATGGGGGACAACGCCAATCAACTATGGGATTCAAAATGCAAGTACATTAAAGAATAATGACATCTTAGATAAAGTTAACTATAATTTTTTGCGCCGTATTTTTGTACGCAGGAACGAAAACTGTTGTCATATTGAACACCTTTTTATGAAAGATTCGCACTATTGCCTGTATTAAATAAAATTGTAATAAATAATATCATACTTTTTTATTTTCGCTATTTGCGCTTGAATTATTAACAAGAGACTTGGGAACCTCTTGATGCAACTATTTTTTTTTCTTGAAAACTATATGAGATTTCTATAGGTTAGGAAAACTGAAGTAAATAGAAAAATGCACAATTAAAAAAAAATAGAAAAGTCGGGAACGATGCCAAATGATAATGGAGATATAATGTGGGATTTAAAGATACCAAAGAATATCAATTATCCCCAAACTTCGTGTTTGTATTTTTTCTGAACAATGGACTAGCTCGGCATGGGTATCATGTAGAAAACCTATAAAACGTCAAAAAAACCTATAAGATGTCATCTTGCAAACTAGGTAGTTTTTAGGGCGCAAACAGTCATTCCACGTTTGCTCACTAGGATCGTTGTGAACGTCCATCTAAGGAGGAATCACTCAACTAAACTAAACGCATTATTGGTTGCATATGTTTTGTGAGGCCAAATGGTTCTTGTCTGTAGTTTTTATCTCTGAGAAGAAAGTTAGTTGAATAGCAAGATCGCATCTGGATGATTATGTACTTGTATATTGGTCTGCATGTGTATAAAATCAGTGATATTTGCTGTGTAAGAAAATGATTACTGAATATGCTGCCAATGAAGTATATCTATTGACTGTGCCCGACAGGTTATTTTTTCATTCATTCATTTATATAATCTCTATTTTCAAATTTTCCATACTTATTAATGGAAAATATAAATATAAATAAATAAATGCAGCATGAAAAGATGTATTGGTAATTTTAAGTCAAAATCCTAAACAAATAATTTTTCTTAAAGCTAAAGTTATTGGAAACTTATAAATAAAATAAAATAAAAATAAATAATTTGATTACGCGGATGTAAATACCAGAAATTTATATATTACAATATTTAATGCTTTATAATGAATGCCTCGACACATATTTTTGTGTGTGCAAGAATCATCTTCTGAACAATCCTAGAGAGAAAATATTTCAAACGGAAACATAAAATACTTACTCGTATCCTTTCTTTTGTAGCAACGTTCTCATTGGTCCCGACATTTCTGTAACATAAACTTTCTCAAAAAGTGAATCAATTTTTGCAGTTACTTCTCCATCTCCAGCGCCCAAGTCTACCAAACTTTCTGCTCTCCAATCTTCGTTGGCTCCAAGAAGCTTTTTAAATTGAGGCTGCGACGCTACGAACATAGAGCCCCTCTGAAGCCAGCTGGAACAAAAGAATCCGTTGAAGGTGTGATTTTAGCTTATACACATATCCCCCCTTAAATAAGACTTTTACATAATCCAGTTTTTCCCGTTTGAAAATCAAGCATGATCATTGTTTGCGTTAAGCAGAATAAAATGCTATCAAAAAGGAAGCTGAAGTGTACTTTACACGAAATAAGACAGCTGTTCGATATGGCAGTATTTTAAGGGACAAACTTTACGAGGCTATGGCCAATCTGAAAATACCGACGAAAATTATTAGACTGGTAAAACTCACATTGGAGGAAACATCGAGCAAAATATGCACATGCCGATGATAGAGTAATATTAACTAGATCTAGGGATGAACAACAAGCGGAATATTTTAAACTACAGGAAACCGCAGGGCGATACGGATTACGGATAAATGAGAATAAAACAAAATATATGGAGAACCAAGAAGTGCAGTGGCTGAAAGAACATTACATTAAGCTGGATACAGAAGAGGGCGAAGTTCGTTTTGAGAACGTGAGTGAATTTAATTACCTGGGTATGGTAGTTACAAGTAAGTGTGATGCATCTGCGGAAATTTAAAGAAGACTGATGAAGGGAAGCAAATCGGTGGAAGCTCTAAACAAAATATTCAAAGCAAAAAATGTACCAAGAGCAGCAAAAATACAGCTATATAGATCGGTAGTTAAGCCTACGGTTCTGTACGAATGTGAGTCCTGGGTAATAACGCAAAAAGCAAAAAACACAAGTAAATTAGAGATGTGGGAAAGAAAAACTCTTAGAAGGATCTTGGGGGGGGGGGGGTGGGGCAGAAATGTATGGGCATTCATCTATTTTAAAATCAGTCAAGGTTCAAATAGTTAGATGATGGGGCACGTATGATAATAGACATGCCAGAAAAGCACTGCTAGAAGAAATGGGAGGAAAGAAGAAGAGCGGAAGTCCTGGAAAGGAATGGATGCATAGTGTTAATAAGGATTTAGGGATGTTAGGAGTAACACTGCATGGAGAGAAAAGGCTGCGGGCCGAAATGCATGAAGAAGGGTAGTTTACAGAATGGAGTCGGAATAAAAGAACTAAGAAACAAAAAGACGATTTCGGTACTGTTCAAGTCATGGGCCTTTAAAGCTTTGTAGAACTGTAATACATATAAGACATCTGTTCTATACACCTTATATCCTGGATAGACTTCCGTTCGTTGTCCTAGCCTGTCAGCAAGCATAGACTATGCTGATGACAAAAGTTCGATCGTCATTACCGACTTGCCCATTGTAATGATGAGACTTAGACTATGGTGAAAGATGCACAGCCACATCAATGCCATGTGTATAGAGGAGAATATTCATTTTCACTCGTTTCGTGATAAACAAATTACTTTATTGACCTCTGGGTTGACAAATGAAGTCAGTCCATGATCACTTTTGGGACACCTAAAAATATGTTTAGACTTAATAAGCGGGCCACCTTCTATGATCAGTTATTTAGGCCCTACCATTTAATCTGCACGCCAGAAAAAAAATGGTAACGAAGTGAAATTGATGCGAGCAGCGCGGGCCTCTATGTTTTGCTAAAGTGGGCTACATGGTGGCCGGTTTGTCACGAAAATTTTGACTCCTGAATTTTAACTGGTACACATTCACTCATCCTGCGTCGTCTGCTGCATCAGTGCCCTCGAGCACACATGCCTTTATGACAATTGAAGAGTGGAAGACAAAAATGATCCATTACCTCGCCTCCCAAATCAATTCAAAGCTCTTCTTTATAGGTTCCCAGAGCCCATAACGGGGCGTTATCGCTCACTTTAAGAATTTAATAATAAACAAATCTTCAGAATTCACAGATGTGTGCGCATTCACTATTTTTTGAAATATCAGACAAAGTGTGAATTGAAAGATTGAATACACACAAACAAGGTATTTCAATAAGAAATATAAAATTTAATTTGTATAGCTTCAGTGTTCAGTTAAACGGAGTTGATACATTAAAAGTCAAAAACACAACATTGAATAAATACGTCTAAATTCTAAATGGTATATTACTGCATTGCCCTCCTCCTGGCTAAAAAAGGTTAGATTCTGTTGTCACAAAATAAATCAAGCCATAACCGACGACTTTAAGAAACTATTTATGTGTGGATTTTTGAAATTGTGTAACACTAAATATTATAAATCTGTTGAATTCCTCTCGTATTTTTGATATTATATGGATGCTAAAAAAGTATGGCGACGACGCGCGGTTAGGAAGGCTGCAATGGATACGATGTTTGGATATCGAATTCGACGACAATGTTGCTCGACGTCACAGCCACCATGCCATGTTAAGCTCCTCATTCATAATATATCTGAATTAGAAAGACCTACACCGACGAAAAGTAGTCTACATCAAATTTGGTATGTTAAAAAATATAGCGAGTCGGAGGTCGCTAAAACATTCCTGCCGAGACTATGATAAATTAAATAAAATTAAAATAAAAACTATTTTGGGAATATACCGTTTCATTCGCATATCTCGAGAAATCCTCGAAATTTCTTTTCAACTACTATTTTATATACCTCATATATTATGTGTACTCACTACAAATAGTCTTAAATTTTTCATTGTATCTATTTCCCAAAGCAGTCACTTTTTTATAACACATCGAATCAAGATTTAGTTAGCTCAATCTAAGTATACCTAAACTTCTTTTCTTAATGAAAAGCAAACTTCTAAAAACAATTCTTGAAAGTTTCATCATTAAAATCAATCAAAAAATATTTCAAGTCACACACAAAACACTTTTTAACTATTTTTATCGCAAAACAACGACATTATTATATATGTTACCGGCAATCTGTATAATCCGGTACTCTATACAATACCTAGGTAATGTATAGAATGTCTAAAACGTGTAGGTAATGTATGAAACATTATTTGCTTTATACTTTGCCTAGGTATTCTATACAATACCGAATGCGCAACCGGTAATCTATGTAAAAGATGAGAGCAAGGAAGATTTTGTGCACTTAAAAATGTCACAATAGTTCCTCATGTAAAAATAAATATTTTTTTCACTTACTTAATTAAAATTTTGACTATGCAGGAGGATTGTTTTGTTTCTTAAGTACATGTATAATACATAATTTATTACAACTTTCAGAGACAATTATCGCAACAAGAATGCCTTGCTGAGTTACTATCTGTTTTCGGCAACGAAGTGCCACATCAGTCGACAATTTCCCGTTGGTATCGAGAATTCAAACGTGGACGGGTGAGTCTTAGCGACGATCCCAGGGTGGGTGCGCCAAAAACGGCAGTCACCCAGGAAAACGTCGATGCTGTGCGCAAACTCATCATTGAAGATAGACATGTAACATATCGAGAGATTGAGGCGTCCTTGAAGATCTCAAAGACATCGATTCCAAAAATTTTACATGAAGAATTAGGAGTAAGAAAATTAGTTTCTCGTTGGATACCCCACCTGTTGACTGAAGATCAGAAAGTAGCCACGGTTAATTGGTGTCAAAAAACGCTTGACCGTTTCAATTCCGGAAACTTAAAAAATGTGGACAGCATTGTTAGTGGTGATGAATCGTGGATTCACTGTTATGAACCAGAAAATAAACGACAGTCGGCTGTTTGGGTGTTGCAAGGTGAAGAAAAGCCAACAAAGTCGAAGTATTTCGAAAAAGGTGGTCGCGACATTTGTGTCAAAAGCAGGTCATATTCCAACAATTCCTCTAATGAGCAAAGACCTGTTACTGCGGATTGGTATACCACCATTTGTTTGCCAAAAGTCATCATCGAGCTTCGAAAAATCAACCCCGAAATAAGAATCATCCTCCACCAAGACAATGCAAGCGCGCACACAGCCCAAAAAACAAGGCAGTATTTAACGGAAGAAAACGTAATGTAGTCGATCTAAGTCCTAACGATTTGTTTACTTTCCCGAAAATTAAAAACAGACTGCGTGGTCGAAGGTTCCAGTCACCAGAAGAAGCAGTTGACGCATTCAAAAATGCCGTTTTGGATCTGCCAACAAACGAGTGGAATAAGTGCTTCGAAAATTGGTTCGAGCGCATGCAGATGTGTATTAATCTTAAATTCAGACCAAGATCTATATATTTTACACACTGCAGGTGGAACAGCTGGTACTCTATACAATCCCTAGGAATTGTATTCATTACCTAGGTAAAGTATGTAATAGATAATAATATTCATAATATTTCATACATTGCCGGGACAACCCAGGTATTCTATACATTGCCTTGGTATTGTATAGAATACCTGAATTATACATATTACCTAAAACGTGTAGGTAATGTATGAAATATTATTTCTTTTATATTTTGCCTACGTATTCTATACAATACCGAATGCGCAGCCGGTATTCTTGTATTAAAAGTAAGATTTTGTGCACTTCAAAATGTCACAATAGTTCCTCATGTAAAAATAAAGAAAGGTGCTTTTTTGTACCCTTTTCATAAAGCTTATTTTTAAAGAGCACTCTAATTGTTAATTTTAATGAAGTTGATTTTAAATAATATAACGGTTTACATTGATAAATTTAGACCAAGATCTACTTATTTTACACATTACCGGTTGACCAGCAGGTACTCTATACAATCCCTAGGAACTGTATTACCTAGGTAAAGTATGTAATGGGTAATAATATTCATAATATTTCATACAATGCCTGGGCTACCCAGGTATTTTATACAATGCCTAGGTGTTCTATAGAATACTTGAATTATACAGATTACCGGTAACATATACATAAGCATAAGAGTTGAAATATGGTATAAATCTACTATTTGACGACCTATGACATAACTCAAACGACTCAAAGTGTCACCTACCACACCATTCAGGGTGTTACTATATTTTCTTATTTTGTTTGATAAAAAGTCATTTATCAGTTTTTAATTGATCATAGCTTCTCCAGGATTTTTTTCGTCACCCCACTCGCGATATATTTTTAACGTACTAATCTTCTTAGACTATAGGAAAACTTATCAACGAATGTGAAAACTTGATTGTTCGGAGCA